ATGGAAGCAATTCAAAAGACTGTGAATTTTGTGTATTGATCGAAATATCAATAAGATACTGGAAGAGATCGTTAAGAGAGACACACACTTGATGACTTCGAACAACGATAAATCCAAGTAAGCGGCTAGTACGACACATGATCGTCTTTTGACGAAAACACTTACCATTCTCAGGAATGCGAACCCCTTGCCACTCAGATAGCATTCTGCGATATCCCCGTGTGGTGTGAACAACTCTTTCAATTCCTCTTCTTTCAGATCATTCGGTAAATTGCCCACAAACAAACGACAACGTCCCGTGAACTTCTTCTTCGGCAGATCCGTCATCAACTCATTGTCGGTGAACGCTTGACCCGAGAGCATGCTCATCGCACGACCACCGCCCCCACCTCCTCCACCCCCGTGACCTCGATCACCTCTCGAATTCATGTCTCCGCTTGATCGATGATGTGCACTGAAATCAAACAATTACAGCAAATGTATATTTCAACCAATGCTCTAACAATACATAACAAGTTGTGCTAATTGATAAAAATGCTATCTTCAAGAGTATTACCGATCTGAGGATGGTGTTGATTTTCGATCCATGCGATCGCCACGATCCGATCTCATTCGCTGCATTGATCCACCACCTCCAGGTCCGTTTGGACGGTTCGATGAATTCGGTGCACTGTTTACGTTACGTGCTGACCCTCCACTGCTGCGTCCACGATCGCTCATCTTGATTGAGTTTTACTTTTACAATTACACTGAAACTTTACACGCTTACTTTCAACAATTATACCGGAAAATTCTTTAGATTTTTACGGTAAAAATTCACTAGAACATATTATAATATGAGGCGAATGAATTCTAGGCGAGAAGATAGAAAAATAGCAACGCGAAGCGAACGGCTACGTACGAAATGAACGAACGCCAAGCGTTGAATTACACTCTGCGATATCGATTGATGATTGTGTTTCGTTACTAACACACCCAGCGACTACGGTAATGGTGGCTTGGTTAGTAAAGTTCATGTGTTTGGGTGGATTTCGACTAAAATTCATCCAATTGGGATTAATGTTCGCGCATATCCGGCACTGTGTGAGGGGATTGTGTAATTTCTAAAGAGACAAAATAAGATAATTTTTGAGGAATGCGAAACGTTCATTGATTCACTACATTCATTGCGATAATTTTCCTCTGCACTCGAAATAATTTCGACACTTAATTAAAATTAAATAATTAAACACGTAATAATTAAAATCAAAATGGATCAATGCGTCACCGTAAACGTGTAATATCACCAAAGTCAAAGACAACATCGAGTAACTGTTCCGATTCAGTTTGCTTTCAAATAAACATATTTTCTGGCTTAAGGATGCTTATTCTCTCGCTTATCATCCAAATTTGTGTTCAACTACACTGTTGCAATAGATTCGTTCTGTCGTTAATTCTTTATACTGCTCGCTTTTAACTTCAAATCGCAATGAACAATACGCAATTGACTAGATTTACAATCTAAGAATTCCTCGAGCAAAACACAACAACGCAGAATTCGCTTAGA